CAGGGGAAAAATAGGACAGTGCTGTGTTGCACATTGGTGGGCTATGCTGACTCTTCAGGGAAACCTTCTGACCTGATTAATCTGACAGATTTCTGTTTTTATGTTTCCCATGTCAGGTTCCAGATGTGACATCCAGATCCCAGTCTCCTCAGCATGGACATGAGGGCCCCCGCTCAGCTCCTGGGGCTCCTGCTGCTCTGGCTCCCAGGTAAAATAGGACAGTGCTGTGTTGCACATTGGTGGGCTATGCTGACTCTTCAGGGAAACCTTCTGACCTGATTAATCTGACAGATTTCTGTTTTTATGTTTCCCATGTCAGGTTCCAGATGTGACATCCAGATGACCCAGTCTCCATCCTCGCATTCTGCATCTATAGGAGACACAGTCAGCATCAGGTGCAAGGCCAGTGAGAGCATAAGTAGTTATTTAGCCTGGTATCAACAGAAACCAGGGAAAGCTCCTAAACTCCTAATCTATTATGCAAGCAGTTTGGAATCTGGGATCCCACCGAGGTTCAGTGGCAGTGGATCTGGGACAGATTTCACTCTCACCATCAGCAGTGTGGAGGCTGAAGATGTTGGAACTTATTACTGTCAGCAGTATAAAAGTTTACCTCCCACAGTGATACAAGCCATGACATAAACCACCCAGGAAAGCAGAAGTGTGAGCCTGGGCTGCACCCTCTGCTACCTCTGATGCCTTCTGCTGCTGAGAGTTTTTCTAAGTTGCAGGCTTTCTTTGAAGGACACTGGGTACCATAACTTTTTCTTCATGCCCTGCCCCAGTTCCACAGACATGATATTATCCTGCTCATTAAATAAATGGCTCAGATCAATAAAACTGGTGCATGCAGGTGTCCTCAAGAGTTGGCTTCTTATAGCAAAAGACAAGTTACAAGTTACAATAGAATTTCCAAGTACTCTTTTCTTTAATAGAGTAAACTGGTGTCTACATGATTGTCATTATGGGCACTTGCAGTCATAAAATTTGTTCTACAAATAGGAAATTCTCTGGTCTTTCCCACAAAGACTGAGTGCATCTCTTACTGAAAGTGCAGACCCCACACCATGTGGATCTCAGACATGCCTTGGATACCCAAGTTTGGGCACTACTGCCCACAGCTGGTGAGAACAATTAATCAGGAGATTCTCCAGCCACCACCTCTCTCCAGGCATCTGTGAGCAGGCTGCTGATGACTGCTGAATCTTTCTTTTCTGATTTCGACAATTATGGGAGGACTCCTAATTGAGCATTACTGGGTCATGAGGGCTCTGTTTGGAATTACAGTTATAACTCTCTTCACAGATGGTTCTGTTTGAAAACCAAAGTGTTTTGCAAAATTGTGCTTCCTTTTGCAAATTTCCCACGGGGTGACAAGTGGGACTGTGGCCACTTTCCCCACAGAAACACAAAAGCAGTCAATTTCCTCCAAATGTTAAAAGAAATTAAGTTTGCAAACCAAGGCATCACCATTTACAGGAAGCCATCTAAGGAAGAGGGAGTCTGAGAAACAAGCCTCCCAACTGATGATGAACTTGTAGTGAAACAGTGACCCATTATGTTCACTATCACTCCAACTCTGAGATTTCTGCAGATATAGGGTGAGCCTACTATAGGGCATGTGCTTTCAAGCATTATTAGCAAGTCTGGTGTCATAGCTAAAAACTTCATGGAAACATACTGTAAACAAAAACACAAAGTTACAGGAATGATTCAATACTACTCTTTTAACAAACAGACCAGGCCCCACCTCCAAACAGAACAATCATATCCATTCCTAATAGCACCACCATAAACCATCCACTTCCAAGTTCCTGAGACTTTGAGATTATTTTCATTGAGGACCTAATGGGGTCTATCAGGAAGTGGGCTGATTTGTGATCATGGCTGGAGGGAGAAAGAGGAAGAAAGACAGCATATGTAGTATATGTATACACAAAAATCATATTTTAATGGCTGAGTAGACCAAGTAATGATTAACACATTTGCAAGTGTTATTCTGAGTAGGCTTTGCATGTGGGAAAAAGACCTTTGCAGGTGTTAAATAAGAGTGTTTATGTTAAGTGAAAGATTGTCCTGTGTTTACCACTTGATCCCTAGTGCAATTTCAGATGTTGTCAAAAGAGGAAGACAGGGATATTTAACACACAGTTGAACTAAAAGAACTTTCCTGAATTATCATCTGTGTGAATTTACCACCAGATACATGAGGAAGGCAGGTCACATTCTGAAGTTCATCTGTGCCCTGTTGGAGTGATTGAAAAATGTGTGATATGACCCACTTGGCATTTGTTCAGGCTGTGTATTAATGAAAGAATCGGTGAAGCCCAAGAGCCCCGCATGCTGCCCCACTTCCCCATGAACTATGCGGTGGCACCAGGCACAGACATGAAAGCACCACCTGTTCTCTTCCTGAGGTGAAGGTCGGCTGTGCAGGGGTGATAGGAAGAGAGGAGTCTGCATTATCACCCCAGTGTCCTCTGGATCCTGAAGTAATAACAGAGAAGTTCAATATCAAGAACAAACATGAAGGCGTTTTTCATGATTTTCCTCTCATGACTTATTTCAGGTGAAGGCATTTTTGTGTTTGTCAGTTTGTTTGTATTCCAAATTTGCAAAGAACAGAATAGAAACCTGTAGAAATCATTTACACTACCTTGCTCTTTCTATTCAAAAGATTCTTTCTGGAATCTTCCTCTCTGTCATTCATTGGAAGGGTACTTGAATTATTTCTATTTTTACTATATACATATTTAACTATGCATATTTTTCAATTTTTTACTATGCACTTAATGCAAAGGCTGTTGTAAATGACACAAGTATTAATGGGTTTTACCTGGCGTGAAGCTGAGGCACCCATGGGACACAGACCCCAGCTGCAGATTGTTTGCCTGAATTCTCTAAAATTTTCTTCTTACACAGATGCAGAAAACCTGCTGTGCTGCTTCCCCGACAAGCAACACATGAGCCCCCAGTAGCAGGGAAGTTTGCGTTCTGGACTACACCGCTGTAGGGAGAAGCACATATAGGCTGATGTAGTAATAAACATCAATATCCTCAGATGCCACCAGGAAGATATGGAATGTGAAATCTGTCTCTGACCCACTGCCTTTGAAGCTGTCTGATACCCAGGACTAGCAGTTTGATATCTTATGCATTAGTGTGAGTGGAAATTGCAGTAGATATTTGTATCACCTGCTTGAGTCCCTGACTAGATCTGTGGGAGATGGTGTTCAGCTCTCTGGAATGAGGGACAGGGAGAGTGGAGTCTGGAACATCACAGTATCCACAGTGGATTCTAAAATAATCAGCCGGAAATATCAGTCATCTTAATATTTTTTTTTATTTTTTGCTTGTTTCAGGCTTGTTTTTGGGATTTTGATATATATGCCAAATATATTCTATTTTTTTAAAAAGCACCCAAGATTTGCTAGCCACACAGAGATCTTTTGAATTTCCCTAGACAATCTATCTCTATGTGACAGTTGTCACTAGAGCACAGGTCCAGGCTTGTTGTGAAATCTTTGTCACTTCCTGGAGATGATTCTTGTGTGTCTAACATGTGCAGAGAACATGCTAAGGAAGCTGTGGGTCCCCAGAGCACCCTCTCCTCCCTCACTTGCTTCCTTATTTCCCTCTATCTTCATGGGGGATCTAGAGCAGGAATAACCCTAAGCTAGCAACTGAGCAGGTAACCTCACTGTGAGAAGCTGAACTGAGGAGAACTGAGCAGCCAAGGCAGGAAAAGGCTTTTACCTCAGATTTGCAAGGGAAGATTTTGCCTAGGACACACTAGAAATTCCCTAGTTTAGGCACATGGGAGAAGTCAAGGGCAAGAGTATAGGCCTCATGTGAACCAAGTAATATAAAATGTATTCTGTATTAGAAGGAAAACCAAAGGAGATAATCTCCATCCTGCCTGCTGCTGGGCTTAGACCCCCTTCTGAAAGACTAGACCTCTGCAGGGGTCAGAATGGTTGTGAGCTTCCTTCTGAAGAGATTCTAGGATGAGCAAGTGTTTGTCCATATCAGTGCCTCAGAGAGTAAAAGACAGCCTACTCAGATCCCCCTCTGGCTAAAGAGAGAAATTAATAACTCCCACTTCACAAGGGCTGATCATCCGAGTTTTCTATCATTAACATTATGGAGTGGAGTTAGTTAAGAGCTTCTGCCATCTGTTGTTATCAAGGCAACTATAAGGATGTTGGGAACAGGGTTAGATATGATCTTCTCCCAGACCCTGTGATTAGACTCCATAAGAGCACTCAATTCAAAAATACTGTGAAGTGAAATAATCTATCTCTTTCATTTAGAGAGAACTCCTACATAGTAAGTATGAACTTCCTGGTAACTAGATTTTAAACTGATACACTGTGCTTATCTCTTTCTGTACATATCAGTTTAGTGAAACATTTCTTAAGACAAGAACCCCTTTGATCTCATTGTACAGAAGGAGCCAGGGAAAATTTTATGTTTATGCTTTTTTGAATCAACATAGAGAAATCCTTCCCAAATTTCTTCTTTTAGGTCATGGGTATTGGTCCACCACCATCATGTGTCACAGAGTAAAAGGAGACTCCACTGATTAGAATAGCCAGATGAGCAGAGTCTTTTAATGTCTCAGGGTAATTTGAAACTAGGACTGACATCCTCCGGCCTCCTGCTGATGTGGTCACTGTGGAAAAGTGTGCTGCATCAGAGCTGCTGAGGAACTTTCATTCCAGACTTTCTGTCTCCCACCTGTGAGAGAATAAATCTGTGTGGTTTCCACTAACAAAGTTTGTAATATTTTTATGATAAAACAAGGAATCTAATGCACCCATTGTGTTTTGTGGTCACTAGAGCATTGTTTGTGCAAAAATGAGGAGCTAAATATTCTGTCTTCTTTCATTACAAATAAAAAATTGTGGTTATTTTTTCCCTCTTTGCCTACATGATCTCTAAGCTCTGAGAATGTTTGGAACAAGTGGTAGAGATGGTCTTCTCCTGGACCTTGTAAGTAGACTGCATAAACGGACTCAATTCAAGAGAACTTAGCAGGTGGAAAAATCTGCTTCATCCAGAGAGAAGCAGATATGTTTACATGTGCGATTTTCTTAGATATTCAAGAGCCTGATTTCCAGGTGCTTAACTTAAACAATCAGTATAAGTGAAATGAAAGAAAATAAATTTGAACTCCTTAAAGCAGAAATAAAACCAAAGTATGATTTTTAAACAAAGAGCTAGAAGATATGACAACTTGTTCTAAATGAATGTAGATAGTTTTACTACTTTGCTTCCTAACAATTGGAAATTACGAACTTCCTCAATCTACATATTAACTGTCTCTCTCATATAAGTGTATCCTAGTAATCTTATGCAATTTTTGAATTAGATTCCAAGAATTTATTTCAATAATATTTTATATGTGAATAAATTATTTAAGGAAAATATAATATGAGATCAATTTTATTAAATGGAAAAATTAAAATATATTTGATGGTCAACATTATTTCTGGCTTACTCTAAAAATTTGAGATAAATTAAACAATTTGTATTGGGAAGTAAATGCACAGATTTCATTTATATTCAATTGATTAATCTTGTTTTAATTTTTGAACTTTCTCTACTTTGAATATAATATCTATATAATTATAGTTACTTCTAAATTATAACATATTTATAATTTTTCCCAAAAATGTCATAATTTCCAGGTGGATAGTTAAATTTTGTGGTAAAGTTTCTATTGCTTTTCATTTATACTCAAATTATCTCTTTTTTTTTGGTACTGGGCATC